GTGCCAAAGCCGCTGCCCGGCTCTGCCGCCACGTGCTGACATTGCTAATTAGGTCAGCGGCTCCCGGTGAATTGGAAGTGGATGCGGGAGGCAGGGGGGGCGGCACGGGGGAGTTATTTGAGGCCTCTCCAACCTAGAAACCCAGAAAAGATTTTCAGGAGCTGTTGGGTGGCTCTGGTGTGAGCTCTGGCTTTAGGCACGACCACCACCCTGGTTGCCTCCCTGCTTGCTCAGGACACGAATGGGATTTTCTTTTCCTCCTTCAAACTGGAATTTTTTATTTAGGCAATGCTTAAAATGTGAATCTAAAGCTGACAAGCTCAATCGAGGTCTCAATTTACAATGCAGTGCTTGAGTGGTTCGTGTTTGTCAGTGGGGTCTTGGACARGCTGCTGAGCCTGAGGACACAGAGCCTGGCAGGGAAGCATCTTCCCCCTGGATCCTACAGGGGATCAGGTCCTGCCAAGCTGAGAAAGGTGTTTGGCTGTGGTTCAGAGTGTGGGGGGCTGAGATTTCCTTCTGTCTGGCTCATTTCTGGGGAATGGAGACACAGGCAGCAGCTCTGAGGTCCTGGTGGGCACCTGGCTGCAGGTAAATCCTCACTCCTGKCTGAGACAGAGCTTCTCCTTGGAGTGTAGTCCCGACATCTCACACTGTGCTTTGTGTGTTACTTTTCCCCYGTGCATCTGGCATATTTTAACAGGCTTTTTTTTATTTAAATTTGCCTTTCTGGGCGTTATCTGAAAGCCCACTGTCATTCTGAGCAAACCCAAACTGAAAACCACCTCGTGAACAAGGAGTGTCGCTCGCCATTTTGTGATGGAACAGCGTGTAAAATCAAGGCTCTGGATAAATCAATGGCACACGGAGCATATTTACATAAAGTATATAAAGCTCCGAGTACTAAGTTTAGAGCGTGGGCTCAGCGCTCGCGGAGCGGCGTGTTCCGACTGGCTGAGACAAGCCTTTCCYCAGCTCAGGAATTAGCAGGAGCCTTGCACAACCAGCCTGCCAGCAGGCATGTAAATAAGGCTTGTACCTGCGTATTTAAATGCTGCTGAAAGCTGGGGCTCTCCCGGTGCTCAGATCGGGGTTTCTCCCTGTGTTGTGGTGTGTCTGGGCTGGAGCTGTGCCYGTCGGGGTTCAGAGCTGACACAGGGATGGGGATCCTGCAGGGAATCACAGCCTCGTGCTGCTGATCCTCATTAGCTGGAGCTGAACCCTTCTCGCTGCTCACCTTCTCGTTCTCCATGGCCCAGTTAGTAAATTAGGCAGGCTGAGTTTTGGGGATCGGGGTCTGTGTGTGCTCCTGAGCTCCTGCTATTTCAGTGCCGTCAGGGTTGGGTTTTTCTGGCAGAAATGGGGCTCTGCAGGCGGGGCAGCGCTGTCCTGACACCTCCCCGGGATACAGACTGGTGCAGGGCTATGGAGGGGCCAGGGGCTCTCAGGCTGGCACTGGGACATCCATCCCCTGGCTGCCATCCCCACTGCCAGGCTGCTGCTGCCTCTGCCTCTGTCCCTGTGCTGTTCCCTGCTAATAATACCGGGGAGGAGGCGGCGTGCTGCCATCCCGAGCTCATCCTCCTCCAGCCGCCCTCATTGCCCCTCTTTGTGTGCCCAGGGCTGCTGCTGCCTGTCCCCGTGCCACCTCTGTGCCCAGCTTTCCAGGTGCCATGCCCTGGACCTTTGCTCAGGGGTGATGCCAAAACCTCCATCACTTCCACTTCTGCGCCCAGTGGCACCAGCTCATCTCCCTTTGCTTATTTCTCTTCCTGACCACTGGATTTTCTCATTTAGGAGGAAAAAAATCTGCCTGGAGCAGGGTTGTTGGTTGCAAACTGTGTTTTTAATGCATTTCTCTGACCCCATTTCCCTCACCCAGGTTGGTGTGTGTGGGGACACCCCAAACCTGCTGGTTCCAGCATGAGCCATGCACAGGTTTTGTTCTCAGGGGGTGCTCAGAGCAGGGTGGGAGCCAGGAGCAGGTCCAGCCCCAAAATAATCCCCCTTTGAAGTCTGGGATGTCACTGAATCTTGCTGCTTTTGTTGGTTTGCTCCATTTTATGTGTCTGCTAATAAATATTGTAGCATGCTAAAAATAACTGATAACCGTGAAGAAGCAGCAAAGCTGCTTTGGCTGCTGAATTTCCACTTTCATTCCCGTCTCAGAGAAGCTTGGGCTGCCTGAAGCAGGTCCAGCCCTACCTGGGCTGGGGGTGTTGTGGGCTGGGGGTGTGGTGCCACTGTCCTGGGACAGAGATGGTGACAAGGAGGTGACACAGGGCAGGACAGTGATGGTCAGAGGTGCTGCTCTCAGAGCCTCGGTGGCTGCTGGTGGAAGCTGGAGCATCCAAAGGGATGGAGGGAGGAGCAAGTGGCCAGGTCAGGGAGATGAGGACACCTGGTGTGTTCCAGATTTGGGGATGCTGGTCCCTGCGGTCCCTGGAGTGCCCTGTGCCACCTTCCCGTCACACRGGGCAAAGCAGCCGGGTTCCCCCAGCCCAGCCCGGTGCTGGCAGAGCCCAGCGTGGCACAGCCGTGCAGGGACCCGTCACATCGGGAGAGCAGGAGCCAGCAAAGGCACCTCC